GAAGAAGAAGAAGAAGAAGAAGAAGAAGAAGAAGAAGAAGAAGAAGAAGAAGAAGAAGAAGAAGAAGAAGAAGAAGAAGAAGAAGAAGGAGGTTATTTCATCAGCTAACCCATTTAATCTTAATTTATCATAGGACTGGAAAAGAAGGAAAATGGGTGAGTCCCAACTTGTTAGGTGTGGAAGGAAGATTCTTCATCATAAAAAAAATCACCACCACAGCAGTGTGATTCAGACTATGGTGCCAGTACAATAATGACTACTGAAATAATGCAACACAGAGAAATTGAGATGGTCATTTTTTTCTATAGTAACAATAGACAAATACTGCAACTTCCTAAAATAGCCGATAGAATAATTAGTAACATTGACCATATGATTAATACAAATGAAGATAATTCACAAGTCACATTCTTTACATGTTCTCCCTCTTCAAGTGCTACAGACTCATGTTTATTGCTTTAGGAATCTCACAAAAATTATACACCCACTGGTATTTGCAGAAATGGACAAATCCATTTTGGAATTATGAGTATACTAGAAAAGTAAAACAAAGAGTACTGTAGCATAAAATGTCTTATGTTCATAACAACCTGGTGCTTGTGTCACTGAAAGCTTTAGAGTTAGGGAAGATTTCTGTTCAGGGAAGTTCTGTGGGCTGTTACTGAAACTTCACTGTCTGTAGGGAGGTTTATGGCAGTACCATCCCTTTCTGTTTCACCATCACCATGTGTTGAATGGTGCTTCCCATCCATGGCTACTGCAAAGGTGTCATCAATATTATCACTGTGATTGGCATTGGAATAGCCAGGGATACTGGGGAGACAATTGATGCTGTATCTGCATCAGCTTTGTTTCTAGCACCGGTATATTGTGCACATAAACTAATGACATCATGCTGATATAAATGATGAAACAGTGATCATTGGCAGAGCATGATAATAGTTTTTGTTTGCCCAGTTATCAGATCTCTCTAATGATGTCTCACCACTTCAGACAATATTTCCCCATCCTTGTTTGTACAGGAGCTTTCCAAACTGACCCTGACCCCAAATTGTCTGCTTCTTTCACACCTGAGAGCAACAGACTAGGGTAGGAGAAACTGGATGATGAGCATTATATATGTAGCTCTATCCTCCAATCCCACATTATCACCTCAAGGTCTTCAGGATCTACTGCCCAAGGCAGCCATATCACTCAGCAGTTAGCCAGGTCTGCCCTTTTCTAGCAGGTTTACTGGCAGTAAGAAAACCAAGTACAGATTCTATAGATACAGTAGATGTTGCATATTTTCTTTTGTTACTGTAATTTGTACTATTAGGAACCATATTTATAGAATGGAACATTATTTACCTTCTTCATCGCTTTCTGAGGCACTGCTCTTCTCTTCAAGGAAATTCTTATTTAGATCCGAGGACTGTACTGAAACTTTGTGTGGTACAACTTCAGAGAGCTTCCTTTCTAAAGGACTCAAAGAATTCCTCCTGTCTTGCTTATCATAATGACATTCCTCTGGTTCAGCTTCCTAGTAAAAGAGAATATCATTCTCACAGCCATCATACTTATTTGGTAAAGAACTGTATCTCAGAAAGTAACATGACAATTCACAATCTCAGCCTTCCAAAAAGAAAATAAAAACTTCTAAATGCTTTTAAAACCACTTACAAACTCCTGAAAACACACATATACACACACCTATATATGTATTTCAAATATACATAATTCGTTAAAGGAATTGAACAAATGGGTTTCCAGAAATATGAATACTCCAAGACTCCATGCAATTTCCATGAGTCCTATTGAAATCAAAGGTTCACAGCAACTACTTTTGAAGTTTAGTTATTCCCAGTCTTTATCTATCCATTCAGATATGCAAAACAATAAACAAACAAAAAAGACCCCTAAACCAAAGTCATAAGCCTGTTTCTACCACACCATTTGTAGCTTTCTGAACTACATACAGTGCTAACATTTTGGCTGAGGAAAACTATGAACTATGATCCAGTAAGATCTCATTTCAGATTTTCTAACAACAGAGGAATTTCAGATTATGGACTAGATTCTATTTTGCCAAATCTATAATAACCTTTAATTTATAACAGGGATATTATGTTATTGTCTTAGCTGTACAGATTATTGAGACTGTATACCGGTTGTACCAAAACTCAGGCCCCATAAGTCAACCAAAATAAGTTTTATTATTTTACTGTATGTTACTGTACTTAGAAATGCTCAAAGTTCATGCATCAAATGAGTAGAGAGTGTTTAGAAGAAAATGACAACCAATTTAAACATTTAATGTACTTTATATAATAAATTTTCTATGGGGCTTGATGCTCGGTATATCATATATATACCGACACACACACGCCCCTATATCATATATATAGGGGTGTGTGTGTGTGTGTGTGTGTTTCAGTGGTATCAAATGCCAAGAAAAAAGCATTTCAAATTCGTGTTGGAGTGAAAGCAGTAATGATATTATATATAATGACAGAATTAGTTTTCTGAAACCTGTTGAGCAAAAATCTAAATTTCTAATTATATACAAATTATCACCATGCCATAATGTTGACTATTTTCACTATGTATTCACAATAACTAGAACTTGAGTCTACAAGAACATAATAATCCACTGCTTACTTATCTTCCATTTCTCATTTGATTTTGTAGGTTACTTTTTAAAAATTCACCGAACAAGAGCAAATGTATATGTTACAGTAAGATTCATTTCCCTTTCAAAAAGAAAATAATGGCCATAAGTAACTTGCCATCAAAAGTAACTATAAAAAAATAAATAGAATAACAAAAAAATTTTTTAGAAAATAAGTTCTATTAAACTCAGAAGGACTTATTTATGAACCAACAAGGATTCCACTGAAATACATCCAGAACGCTATGCTACCAGAGTTTGGATTCAGCTAAATTACAGCACAGTTCATTTAACAAAACTGAAAAATGCGAGAAATCCACTAGCAGAAAGAAGGCAATCTGTATTTTGGTAAACATATAGTTTGCCTTGCATTAAATTATTAATTTACTTGCTTATTATATTTTTATATTCAGTTATGATAAATTCTAAATATTTCACTCATTAGACTAAGGTGTATGTACGTACAAATCACAGCACAGCTCCTAATCTGTAAACTGGCAATTACATTTAAGAGAAAATGAAAACTTAAATATAGCTTACAGGATTAAAAAGTTTTTTTTTTAATTTCAACAATAAAATGTCATATATTCATGTATAAGAATGTAAAACAAATTAGTAAATTAAATAATGTATTTATAGTGAGAAGGAATCCTTAATAAGCTTACTTCTAAAAGTGCATTTCCACTAAGAAATTCTGTCTCAACTTCAGTCTGAGCAATGGATTCTTGAACTACACCAACAGCTTTAGCTGGTTCCTTATCTCCAGATTCATCACTAAGGTTAGATCTATACAAAAATAGCAACAGAGTTAATTTACACTTATTCTAGAAGCATTTGTTAGTACAGTGATATATAGGTTTTAAAGCACAGATTGGAAAAAATATATATATTTAGTCCTTCTACCATCAAATGACCTCTTTTTTCTAACTCTAAGGAAGATTATTTTTATGGAACTTACCAAAAAGTAGTACCCTTGTATTACATAAAGATGAAAAATGCTATTTAGTTGCACTAATGGGAAAAAAAACCCCTTTGCTTATCTATAGTTTTATTTTCCCAAGTATCTTCTGTACACTTACTCACATCTAAGGGTAGACAATCATAGGAAGTTTCAAGGATAGCTTTCTCCAAACTAAGGCTCATCAGATATGATCTCTAGTTAGCAGTTATTGAATTTACCAATTTGGGATTGCAGAAGTTAAAGTCCGACCTATCTAGATGGTACTAGGTAGAACAAAGCCTAGGTAGAAGCTTGGTTTGAAAGTGAGCATTTCCCAGTCAATGCCTAAGCACGTACCAGTTGTTGCTAACTATGGTAAAGGCTTGGGGCAGGATACCAGGGAAATAGACCATGTGGCAAGGAGGTAGAAAGCATATGCAATTCTGCTGTAGACACAAAGCGTAATAGTTTATAGCTAAATGTATATATTTTGTGAATCTGTGAAAACTTCATTTTGTGGGTCAATAGTCATATTGAAAGAAGGACCACTGTGAGATTTGTTGGAGGAACAGACTTCAGAGAAGATGTTGACTCAATTCAGTATCTGATAAGGTCCAAGGTCTTAGTTTGCCATCAGCTCTGAAGGTTCATCACATACCTATTCAAGCAGACAAAAAGCCTATACAATCTGATCTCCTCTTACTCCTGGCAACACCACTGCGTGCAAGCAAGCATAGTGATACCAAATTTGTTGGGGTTACATGAAAAGAATCTTCTGTAAATATTCTATAAAAAGAATCTTCTGTATCTCACTGAATAATTTACATAGTAAAGAACATTTAAATATTACTGCTTCAGCATATAGTGACACCAAAGATAACTTTTCAGCAAGTTATGGATAACAAGCATTAGTATCTAAAATAGCCCTGACAGAATAAGTTATACCAAGTTTATATCATCAACAAAACACAATCTGCTAAAAAGCAAAAATACAGTCACAGGGGGATGATCTATAATATTTTCTTACCTTAATTGTCCATTCTCTTCAGATGATGAATAAATGCTTTCCATCTCTTCTGTATTCAAGCCAAGCTCGGAGCCATAGCTCTGGGTTACAAGCTGCCAGAATTCCTGTTTGGTTAATCTCTGGAAAACCAAAGATGTACATTAACAACAATGGCAAGCTGTTCATGATTTAAAATTATAGTCTAAATCAACAAATCATTGTATTAATCTAAAATCTAATCTGTTTCATAATAGTATTCGATAGATTAAAAATTAATACACACACAGAGCTATCATACTAACAAGTTTTTGGGCTGCCAGAATTACTCAGTTTAGCCATCCCAACAGACTATACCCCTCCCATCCCAATTCCTGAAATAACCCCCCCCCCATTTTAACTATTCAGAACAGCTGCAACCTCTTAGCTGATGTTAGTTGTACAACAGGGCCACAATCACTAAGTCAGCTGTCTTTGGGTCAGAAGCTTCTCTCCTCAAATTTTAAAGAGGCCCTGATCAAAGAACTGTAGCAAAATAGCATGTGAAGCAGAATGACATAGACTCAGAGCTGTGGCTTCTCTAGATCAGCAATTTCAGAATATTCAACTGTTGTCCTAACCACTACTAGATTGGTTTCCTCTCTGCCTATCTTCTCAGGAGAACACCTGTATCCTGTGCTGTGGAATAAGAGAGAATACGTATTTGACCTTCTTCTGTAATTTTACATTTCTATCAAATTAGCTTTCAGTGGTCTGGTCTTGAGATTAAACATATCTAGCTCCTTCAATCCCTTTCCCAATACAGTACTTCATTTTGTTCTTTAATCACCCTCATTGCTATAATGGTATGTGGGAATGACCTTGGGAGACAGGGAGAAGAGATGCAGCCAAGGGAATGGTCAGATAAAAGGCAACTTAGTCCACAGGAGGAATGTGGATGGGGCAAGCAACTCAGAAGGGACTCTCCCTAGTTTCTTGAGCTGTAAAGGGGATGGAGGGAGAACTGTACTTTCAGATTTGCAAGATTCTGTTAATGTTACCTTGCAGTAAAGTAGAATTAGCTCATCTGGCCATGCTTCCTCCCTGGTCTACCTCACAAGACAATTGCCTGCCATTCCAATTTCTCTGAATCCTTCTAAAAACTTAAGATCCAGAACTGGAAACTGAGCTCAAGGTTGGATCTGACCAAAGTAGAATAAATATTATGACACTTTTGGTTCATATTTACTTTGTAATGTACTACTGTTCCAAGACCTTTTTCACAAATACCAATACCAAGCCAGTTATCCTACATGCTATAACTGTACATTTCATTTTAGCTTCCTACATGAAGAATTTTGCACTCGCCTCTGTTAAATATCATTCTGTTACTTTCAAGACAATTTCTCTAACCTGTGAAAGTTTTGAATTTTATTTTTCTCTTCTAAGATAGTTACCCAACCCAATTTTGTTCATCTGAAAAACTGATAAGGATTCCTTCCACCTATTCATCCAATTCATTAATAAAAATAGATGTTTAGAGGACCCGGAACTAATCCTTGGGATACCACATTTGATAAACTCTCTTGAATTTGATGAGGAAGTATTGATGAGCATAACTGAGTGCCGTTTTTGAGCCAGTGATATATTCACTTAATTGCCATGCCATCCAGCCTACACCTAACTAGCTTGCTAATCAGATTCCATGAGGTACTTGCCCAAATGCCTTGCTGAAGTCAATATGTATTATGTCAACAGCATTTCCACAATCTATTAAGGAAGTTACCTGATAAATAAAGACATAGGGTTAAGTTTGGCAAGTTTTTTTCCTACAAATTCATTCCACTTCATTAAATAATTTGGGGTTCCCTAATGACAAACAAGAAATCAGGGAAAGGGAAGTTGGATTTATTCTTCTTTCCAGCTTCATAGGAGAAGTAAAAAGCATACAGAATTGATGCTTTACTTGGGCTCCTTGCTAGTTTAATAGTAGCACTAAACCATAAGCCATCTCCATGTCCATCCAGTGAATTGTACCCTAATTAAATAATACTGAATATGCCATGAATGCCAATAGGTTATAAGAATTAAGATCTATTTGAACTTCCAGTGAGGATTTATGGAGAACTAGATGTCCCTGAAGGAGAGGGGAACAACATTGCGGCGGAGATTGGCAGCCAGACATTGAATTATGGTGGGCAAAATCTCTCTGGAAAAAGGAGATAAAGTGAGATTGTCCAAATGTACTCCAGAAAGCTGCTTCTCGTGAGTAGATTGGAGGAACTGAGGTTTTTGTGGTCAACTTGTGAGTCAAGCTTCTTAACTGCTTTATAGTTATTAGGAACCTTTGCAATGGCAAATTTTAGAGCACTGGGTGAATCTCTTTCAATTCTTAGTGAAAAAAGTTTTAAATACAGGTTTAGGCTTAAGGATTTTAAAAAAACAAATCTTTACTTTTAGAATCAATAACAAAAGGTGATTAGAATGTTGATTTTGGAAAGTCACAAATGGATTAAGGGTCCAGATGGATTTGAAATAAAATTTTGAAATTAATTATAAGCACTCTTCCTGTGGAAAAATACTGTTGTTCTGAGTTCTTAAAAAAAAAAAAAAAGATAAGATAAGATGAGACTTTGAAGGTTGGACATTAGAGGGAACTGGAAGGAACTAAGGATTGCAATTAAAGGAGAAGAACACTTAAATTTGACTTATTAATACAGAAATCAAGCAAAATACTTTAACATCAGATGTATTAAAGGATATTTGTGAACAATGGACCCAGAAGTAAACTTTAAAAATGTTTGCCATTATAAATAGACTGTGTTTAAAAGATGTTATGGAAGAGGAACAAGTTTTACTGGACAAGACTGAGACTGATTTAAAAGTGGATTTAAAAATGACACGCTACAAGAATGATATGGAAAAAGATGCTACACTGGATATACAAATGAAATTGGCTGATGTCTTAACAATTAAAAGGGATATACAAATAACAAACCAAGAGAATGACCTGGAGAATTTTCCTATATTGGATATACAAAAGAGACTTGTTAAAGTTTTGAAGGATTTTGTGAGAAGAGAAAAAGAAAAAATGAAAAGATGTCAAGCTTTAGGACAGTATTTGAAGAGGTTAAAGCTCAAGATCATTAGAAGAAATATAAAGTTGGTTTATTTGATCAAGATTAAAATAGATATGTTGTTATCTCTGGTAACCATTAATGATTTTTGCTGACCAGGACTGAACGATGAGGCTTTAAAGATTTGTTTATAGATAAGAGATGAGATATGGGATGAAGAGACCATTTGTTGTATTTTAAGAGAAGGCAATAAGTTACTAAAATCGTTCATACTTGTGATGAAGGGGGAAGTCATTTCTTTATATATTTCTTTTCTTTTTCTTTACTATATTCTTATTTTTTCTTTCTTTTCTATTTTTCTTTCTATTTTTCCTTTTCTGCACTATTTTTTTCTTTTTATTCTTTTATCTTTTTAGTTTGTGCTAGTTCTTATCTTTTTATTGTAATGTTTAATAAAATTACTACGAAAAAAGAGTTAAGATCTGTTTGAAGAAGCATATACTTAGCAATTGTTTGAAGTGTACTTTCTTTATTATTCCCAAGGTTTGTCTTATGTTTTTACTATTGCAACGCAATCATATTACCAGCCATAAAATGATGAAAGCAGAGCAAGCACGCCATATAAATGACATGTAAGCAAAAATGCAATAAACACAGTATTACAATAAACCGGCTCTTAATAGAATTAGCAAGGAATTTTCAACAAATGAATGCTAATACAGGTGGACCTCATTATCTGCAGGTTTTAAGTATCCACGGTTGATAAATAAAGACCCAAACAAATTATCCATAGTAAATAGCTTAGGTAACTGCATTTTGGGGTTTGCAGTTTTGGTTCATGCATCATTTGGAGCACTCATAGCATTCCCCTTCAATTTCCTGGTGATCCCAGCAAACTGCTGCATTCTGATCTTATATTGTTGTCCTCTTTCTGCAACTTACTTCCCCATGGTGAAAACGAGTAAGTGCACAGGGCAGTTCTCTGCTGAGTAAAGTGGCAAATGATCACAGAAAATGTTGCCCTTTAGCAACAAGATGAAGCAGGTGAATCTTCCAGGATTCTGGAACTTAAGCCCCCAATTACCACAGGCTCAAACTCTTGTTATCTGCAGTTATATGGGGGGTTCCATTGTATGCTGGAGCAAAAATCTGCACAAATAATGGGATCCATTTGTAGTTTTTAATAATGGGGATTATTTTCCTGAAATGTAAAAAACTGTCTATCAGTCTTGGAATACAAGAATCATCAGAAATTGTGAAAAAGGCAACCTTGTATGTGGTAGTTAACAGTCTAATATAGAGATATTAAGCAGGACAAATAGGGGGCACTTTATAAACTATATATTGGCTTTTCCATTGCAGATGAAAAGTAGAAGAGCAATATAAGAAATAAAGACAGGATAAAATATTTTAAGTCTCTTCTGAATGGAAAGAGAAGCAGAAATACAAAAAGTAGAAACTGTACTCATAATTTTGCTGAACATACAATACATAAAGCCCCACCCGAATGCAGGTGGAGCAGGGTTTTTGTTGTGATGTGCTACATTCTTCCCCAACCTCATAGACCAAGGCAGCTATCTTTGCTTTGTTCTTACAGTATAAATAATGTGGCTAGCATTGCCACATTGCAACACAATACGAAGTGAAAAAGTGGTTTAGTTTTGCCTTAGCATGATGTGTGGGGAAAAAACATGACTGCTATAAACCATGCTTTTAAGTTAGAATTACATGTGAATCAGGACAATATGGCTTATTCAATAAATCACAGTAAACCCAACAATAGCTTAATATATTAAATGAACCCAGTGGCAGCACTGCTATTATTCTACAAATACACTATGTAATTAATGTATGACACTTAAGAAGGAACATAGGCGGGTATGATACACCCAAGTCACTCCTTTACTCTTTCTAGTTTGTTAATGGCCATCAACAGGCAGTAGCGCTTCATGTTTCAAGCAGAGATTTCCCATTTGTATCTGGAGAGGCTAAGAACTGAACCCAGAGCCTTCTGCATTCTAAGCACGCATCTCCTACTAGGCTACGGCCCACCTTTTAATGACTTTCTAGTTACAAACAAGCATCAT